TAGTTTTGGGGTTGCTTATCATGGTGGCCAAATCCACTTCTTATGAAGTGACTGTAAGATGTCGGAAATAGCCCTGAGTACAGTTTGACAGGATGTATTCCATTGTTGCACGGCATTGTGTTGACAGGTCCCAACACTGTAGTGTCTCCGCCATTTGCACTGAAAGCTCCTACTACTTCGGAGAATGCTCTGCGTGTGTTGCGTGCGTTCAAGTTGGAACGTCCAATACTCCTGGAGGGCTCACCCGGAGTGGGCAAGACCAGTCTGATATCTGCCATTGCCAAACAGACTGGCTACAAGATGACCAGAATCAACTTATCCGAACAGACTGTGAGTTAGTTATACCCCCCCCCACCCTTTTCTCTTTCTCTCTCTCTCCTGATCACTTTCTCACCTTGTTAATTCGGTCCTCATTTAGCAGGCTCTCTCACCAAACTGGTTGACAACTAGCATTTAGTTTGAGCAGATTAAGCGAGGTCTGGCCCTACCCTCGCATGAACCTAACGTTTATGACACGATCGTTTTTTTCCATGTCTACAGCATTGTTTGAAACGAGTCAGTTGCAACTTCTGAGTTTTTTTCTCTTTTTCTTTACAGTATTGTAGCAGTGTTACTCCGAAGTATCATACAGGCATATTTCAGTTGAATATATTGCATTTATCTCCTCGACTGATGTGCTTTATTTCTTGGATGAGCTGAGCCCACCTTGTGTTTCCCATGTGTGTTTGACGTGTGTATGTGTGTGTGTGTGTGTGTGTGTGTGTGTGTGTGTGTGTGTGTGTGTGTGTGTGTGTGTGTGTGTGTGTGCGCGCGCGTGCGCTTGCACGTGTGTGTGCTACTTGCTCTATTTTCCCTTTAGGATGTGACGGACTTGTTTGGTGCTGACTTACCCGTGGAGAATGGTAAGGGTGGTCAGTTTGCGTGGAGGGACGGTCCCTTTCTCAGCGCATTGAAGGAGGGCCACTGGATCATGCTGGATGAGGTTGGTCAACAGCTTTTCTCTCATTATTGTCTTTACCTATGTCTAAGATGGTTTGAGCTGTGAGTTTGCAAGTTTTGTGTGCTGTGTTTACGTGTCCAACATCTGTACATTCACTTTGAAGCTCTATTACATATTTATCTCTATGCTGTGCTCATACCATTTGGACACTTTTGCTAGTGGCCGACAAAGAAGTCTCAATGGGCAGAGTCTGACTTCTTTCTTTTATTTGCCACCCCAAATGATATACCCCTTCATGCTCTGTATTATCTTATATCACTACACTACAGAAACAAAAATGAAAATGGGTTAACCATACAGCTGTTTGCTGAAATGATCACGTTTATACGCTGTCTCCCGCCCGTAGATTCCCATTCTAACACTTCTGTTGTGACTCGGAGGCTGTTGGCATCTCTTTCTTCTTACCCCTGCAGTTGAACCTGGCCTCGCAGTCTGTCTTGGAAGGCCTCAATGCATGCCTGGATCATCGCGGAGAGGTGAGTGCAGTTTTTCCTTATCTCTGCCTTGTATCTGGTATCCACACCTATGTTTTGTGGGGAAAATGTTGTTGACAGCAGTTCCATGTGCACGCTGTGGGCATACCTATTTACCTCTTTTGGAAATTGAAGTACATGTATGCTGTTCACACGCTTGTACACTTTATTTGTAAGATGGAAGTCCTGAATTGTGGTGTGGATAGTGTAAAGTGTGCACTGCTGCCTGTACTGCTGGTCCTGCCCGCCACGCAGAACATTCTATCAGCACAATACCCACAGTATCTATTGGCATATCATGGATGATGTTGTGCTAGGCTGTATGATCTTTGCTTTATGGCTCCGGTCTGCGAGAGTTGCTGCTGTATGAGGTTCATGTAGTGGTCATATCTGTTTGATGTGCTGTCGACCATGGTCGCTTGGATACCACTCTTCCGGGGCTTTGATCGGTTGCTAGCATTCATGAGTTTGAGAATGAGTGAAGGACTTGATTGTCATCTTCTTACTCATGAGTACTATTGGCATACCAGGTACTTCTACACATGTGCATGTTTGCTGGTGATGTCCTACCTCTGCTTTCTCAGTGCTTTCCTAGCATTCATCAACAATCAAGATGAAATGTTGAGGGGAACTTGGTGTGATATGTGACATATGTTTGTATTTTTTTATTCTGTTTGCTTGTAGGTGTATATTCCAGAGTTGGGCAAGTCATTCAAAGTCCAGCATGGCTCAACGCGAATCTTTGCATGCCAGAACCCACTTCAACAGGGCGGCGGACGTAAAGGTCTTCCCAAGTCTTTCCTCAACAGGTTTACTCAGGTAGATTGGACCACCATGTGATGTCTGTCATGAACATGGCACTTGTCGCTAGACTCTGATTTTATACCTGTGTGTCTGTGTCTTTGTGTGTTTCGATGAGTTAGAGTTAAATGACTGTTCCTGTTCTTGTGTTGTTTAGGTATATGTGGAGCCACTTACAGCCGACGATCTTTTGTTCATCGGTAAAGCCATCTACCCTTCAATTCCACAGGAAATGCTGAAGAATATGATCTCCTTCAATGCCAAGGTAGGCCATGCAGCACTGTCCAAGACCTTTTGTCTGTTATCATCCTCTTCGTCTGTCCAGTTTGTCTTACTTGGCCCCCTGCAGCACTTGTTTCTCAGATATGACAACACCCGGCGAAATGTGTAATGAAGATTGCATTCTTGTTATTCTTGATCCCTGTTGACAATAAGTGAGCATTCCACTCAGCAACGAATCAGATCAAGCTCTTCCAAAAACTGGGACAAAATCATCTCTTCCCGGACGCCTTGCAACTGTTGTTGAGGCGAAGCGTGTTCTGCATAGTTGGCTGGTTCATACGGTTGATAAGTGTGCGTTGATACACATTCACGTGCGGTGCTGGTCAATGAAATCCGATCTCTTGGATAAGTTAGCGCCCTCCACCAGCTCACAGGTCCAGGGCTGCACAGCGTCCAGCACTATTTGGCTGGCGTGGTCGGATTCCATCGAGCAGCACTGGACTTTGAATGAGAGGTGTCGTAAATTTATTGTGTGCTTTCTTTGTACGAGTACTGTACTCTTTCTATCTATGCTGCTGCCTGTGCTGCCTGTGTCATAGGTTCACAAGGCAATCAATGTGGAGCGTTCAATTAGCCTGTCAGCCGGCTTGTGGGAGTTCAACCTCAGAGATGTGTTCCGTTGGTGCGATCTTATGATGACATATCAGGTATGATTTCTTGTCTTGGTTGCAGGTGCACCAAGGCTGTCGAGACACACCTGCGCATGCACACACTCACGTGCGCACGCACGCACACACACAGTTGCACTCGAATGACAGCTACCCATGAGGTCGCACCACCCGCCACCCCAATCGTGCGCATGGTTAGGGCAGAGAGCCGTGCGGGAAGGTGTTGGGTTTCATTCTTTATAGTTTATGGGAGCACCACAGACAGTCTCATTGTGAGAGTGGGTAGACGGAAGGAATCGTGGCATTGCAAATCTAAGGAAGATGAAGCCCTAAATACAAGACTACAGTTTGTGCCATTACCACTGCATGCCGTGACAATCCAGTGTTTTTTCTGTGCCTTTAGAAGAAACACTTTATGGAGTGCAAGACATGTACCGGTCTCATTGTTTTGCTGTCTTTTGTTGCACTGCGTTTGGTCTATGCAGAATGGAGGTCCACTCAGCCCAGGCCAGTTTGTTGACTTGCTGTATGCGCAGCGAATGCGACACCCGACCGACCGAATGCAGGTTAGGCGGTCTTGCTGGGGTTGCTGGGTTGGGGTTTGTTAGCCCTTTTCTATGGTACAGTAACCATCTCTTTAGAAGGAGGTCGCTTCTCCACCATAAGACTAAATTTTTGTTGACTAGCTCAGCTCTTGAGGTTTGCTGGGTGCACAGCCACTGCAATGCTTCGAGCATGCACCCACTGCTTTGCCTCGCGTGTTGCCGCTGTGCTTTGGAGCTGGGAGCATCCTTCTGACCACCCTCAGTCGCCCCTGCCAATGTGAACCAACTGAATTCGTCAGCTTATTTCTAATTACGCTTCAGACCAATTCCATACGCACCCCATGGCAATTATTGAAGTCTCATTGTCAACAGTGTGCGTGCGCCGGTCGGCAGCAGTGAAGCTGCAGCTTGGCAGCGCGATGGTTTACACTATTTCTGGTACACATTCTCTGTATGTTTGACTCTTCTTCGCAGGTGCTCAAGCTGTATGTGGAGACGTTCAACTATGCCAAGGAGACATCGCTGTTTCACTTGGGCGGTTGCATTCTCATGTCACCAAGCAGAATTCAGGTACAGAACCCATCTCATTCATGCCAGTGTGTGTAGTTTGTGTAGCCATGACTGTAGCATTTGGACTTGTGGGTGGTAACAGCTTTGGCCATCTGATCAAAGCAAGCTTTGATACAACACACCGAATGTTGTCCTGTTTTTGCCATGTTTGTAGCTTGGTCAAGTGATACTACCTCGCTCTGAAGAAAGGCCACCACCATGTTCATACACGTTCAACCATGAGGATAACTCCGCATTGGAAGCATTGGCCACATCGTTGCAAATGGGCTGGATGACGATTCTGGTAAGTCAGATTCTGAGAATAGGACCTTTTTTTCCTGTGAAATATGAGTTGCCTGTTTTGCGTGCTGGTTGTTCCGCATAGCCAACCCTCATATTAATTTTGTGTTGTTAATCTTTGTCTTCTCTAATATACTGTCCCTGTGCCAGGTTGGACCTTCTTCAAGCAGGAGGTCGGCTGTTATTCGAACACTGGCGTACTGTTGTGGCCTGAAACTGGTAGAAATGCCTGTCAATAGTGCTATGGACACCACCGAACTGCTGGGTGGATTTGAGCAGGTGAGAGGATCATTTCCTTTGAGTTATGCAGTGATAACCTGTGTTTAGAATTAGCAATCACCCTATGGAGCACAGAATACCCATCATTATAGACAGAGGTGCTCTGTCAGCAGAGGTGCAAATCATGTATAGCAACACGGTTTGGATCCTGAAATGACTAGTCTCGTTGCACAGGTGGACACAGGTGGACACAGGTGGACACAGGTGGACACAGGTGGACACAGGTGGACACAGGTGGACACAGGTGGTCTCTAATCTAATCACAGTGATCTCTAATCACAGGGGTTGCCAAGCATTATGGTTTTTTAGTTTTACGGTATTGGTATTGGTGCTGCTGTTACTGCTTCTTCCTTTGTCGATGTTGACATTGATAGTATGCATATTGTGCAATTGCTCACCAACTCCTGAAATCTGTAGTGTGATGTTTACCTACTCCCATGCTTGCTTAGGTGGATAATGTCAAGAAGTGGCTGGAGCTCATTACAGATGTTGAGCATTTTGCACAGGAGTGTATTCGGGAAGCGCTCTCTTACAGTGCTTTTCTGAACACTGCCCGTGAGGTGTGGGCCAATCTGTCACCCACTTGCACTGAGATTGATAAGCTCTACACTGAGTTGACCTGTCTGAAGGCCATGAATCACCAAGGTAAAGAACTTTGCTCTGTATGAATTAGTTTTACGTTCAATCATGCAAACAGAGTTGGCCGCGTCAGACTATCATCGAAAGTAGTTGATGATATGCTTATGGCTGCGTGTGTTGATTTTTGTATTTTTTGGCGCCGTATATATAATATATTATGTTGATTTTTGCTGTTTGTTCTGCAGAGCTGACCCCAGAGCACTTTCAGCAGTGTCATTTTGTGCTCTACTGTATTTCATCTATGCTGAAGGCAGCGGGAATGGGAGGTCAGTCTTTGATTCACTACTAGTACACTGGAAGCTCAGTAGAAAGAGCGGCTTACGACAAATGTTTACTTTTGGAGAACTTCCAGTTTTTGTCCCTCTACATACATTGACTGTATCAGTGCTAGTTCATTGTGTGAAGTGGAGATAATGCGACTAACAAGTTCAAGTTCCTCTGCAATGCCACAATGTGCGCTTATCCTGTACACCTGGGTTTGTGTTGATGTTCTACCTGAGGCCGCATTTTCTTTTTGTTAGCACAAAGTTTTCAAGACATGGTAGAGATTCCAAGAGTACATATCATCACCACTGTGTTGTCGCAACAGCTGCGGCAAATCCTGGGTTTAGTGACTGCTGTGATACCTCTCTTTTCGGTTCATGTTGCTACCGACACTTGAACCTGCGTTAAAACTTGAAAGTTGACACCTGTCTATAAAGACCCGCCTTCTGTGCCCTACGTGATAAGCACTAGACACGAGTCTGGCTGTGTGTCGCTGTATTTGTGTATCATGAGTGCATGAGTAACTACAGTCAACCTTGTGAATAGCGATCCTCGGCTGGGCACAAGAACAGTGGTGTTATTAGCGAGTTGTCAAACGTATGCAGTCACATGGTTACTGGCTCGGAAGATAGTGTCGCCGTTATTCACTTGTCACGGCTGTACCTGAGGTTGGCTATTTGCCAGGTTGACCGTTCTCATTGCATAACCTGCTGCCTTTTGTGTTCAGGTGTCCATGCGGCAATTACTGTTTTGAAGGAGAAATTGGACAGCTTGGCATCTGTGCTTTCATCTACGACCACCATGGATGCTGGCTGCTTCAAGTGGGTTGACAGTTTACTAGTTACTGCAGCTCGTCAAGGCCATTGGATTCTTCTCGATAATGCTAATTTCTGCAGGTGAGTGGTTTTTGTGGGGCGTGTGGCTCGTGTCACTAAGTGTCACAGCTGGTAGAAACTCTCGGTGGATATCAAAGAGGATTGTTTGTTGGTACTGTTAATCATGGTAGCGGCAATTGGCGTCACAGTTTTGTAAGAATTGATGTTGGTACAGCTGAGCCATGCAGCTATTTTCACAGGAACCCTTATAGACATTCTGGAGAATGTTTTCCGTATTAGCTGAGCTGCTGCTGAAGGTCATGGTGATGGTCATGCTGATGGTTATGGTGAAGGTTATGGTGATGATATGCTACACAGTTATAATGGTGTTGTTAGGAGTGCTTGCCGCACTTATCTGATGACCTTTTCTTTCTCTAAGGATTTTGTGAACTTCACGCAACTGAATTAGCCCCTTTCCTTTGAATGTATTAGTTATAATAGACTAAGAATGGCTTTTGAGAAGAGGCCATCTTGCTGCTACACGTAGGTGTGACTTTTAGCTATCTTTGCTGGGTGCGACTAATTTGGTGCTGATCAGGAGGATATCATAGCAAACAACTTTTTTGGATTGCTCTCCTGTATGTTGCTTGCATAGCCCATCAGTTCTCGATCGTTTGAACGCCATGTTGGAGCCAGATGGTGTGTTGACCATCGATGAACGTGGCTTGGAGGATGGTGAAATTGTCACCGTAAAGCCTCAGCCTAACTTCAGGTAAGAGCTCTGGCTGTATTGTGGACCACCAGTCTCTGTGTATGTGTGCATGCATGTGTGCGTGCATCTGTGTGTGTGTGTGTGTGTGTGTGTGTGTGTGTGTGTGTGTGTGTGTGTGTGCGCGCGCATGTGTGCGCGCGTGTGTGTGTGTGTGGGCGTGTGGGCATACACACGTACAAATGTTAGTGTCTTGCTGGTCATTCTTGTGTCTCCAGGCTGATTCTGTCCATGGACCCAAAGCACGGTGAGTTATCCCGGGCTATGAGAAACCGTGGGATTGAAGTCTGCTTGCTTGACTCGTCAGCAGCAGAGGAAGACGAGGATGATGATCAGAAGAATGATACAGATCAGGAGAATGATGCAGATGTTGATAGCATGGACGTGGAAGAGGATTCTTGCATGCCTGTTGCGGAACACGTGGCGGCAATGGATGATGAGGAAGAAGAAGAAGACGAAGAAGACACCGAGGTGAGTATATGCCAGTGTGTATTCAATTTTGTATGCTTTACTTTTGAGATGGAGCCGTAAGATACACTAGTACTTTAAATAGGGAAACGTGTACCTGTACTAGTTTCAAAGGAGCACTCCTCAGAATTTCAGCTATGCCAGTATGGGGAGGTGCATATGCACACAGCCTCTATAGTGGATTATTCCCGTAGCTATGCAGAAGACGTTACTTCAGTAACGTCTGGCGCTAGCCAGGGTCCACACAGCTTTAATTTGGTGTTTGTTTGTTTGTGTCACGCCTGGCGCTATCCCGTATCTGTCCCGTACCGTATCGCACAGCTGGCCATTTGCTGGCTCCCTTATCTGTCCCGTACCGTACCGTACCATCAAACACAGCTGGCTACAAACACCTGGCCACAATATTATGTACATGTATACGACTCCCGGTGTGTTGCAACTGTGCTTGAAGGGGACGGTTGCACTTTTTGTAGCTCCATTTTATCTGAGTTTTCAGTCGTTCCTCTTACTAGTCTTGCCAAGGGGGTGGCTCTGGGTCCACCAGAGTTGCCCCTGGCGTATTTCTGAATTTGCTGGGGCGAGGGTTCCGCGACGCGGTCGCCAAGGCAGTGTCTTTTCAGTCACGACCGTTGTCGTCCTCGTCTCTCCATTCGCGGTGGTGTAGCTGACCCCCGAATAGTTTCAAACTGCGAAGCTCGGAGGAGTACAGTGGTGGCAGAGGCATGAGCTGTGAGTGGAGACGGTTGCTGGAGATGGATGGTGATGCAGGGAGAAGAGTTACGCTGCCTGACGCCGCGTGGGAAATTGTTTGAACCTGCAATTTCAGTTCGAGCGCGGTGGACTTCTAGACGATGTGTCCTCATGGCTGTTTTTCAACGCTTGGCCTATCGCTGATATCCCTGCGTGGGATGTTCTTCCAGTGGAGTCCAGGTGGGACTTCGGGTGCCCACACTCCATCACCTGGTTGATTGTTTCGGAACTGCAAAAATAATTATTGTTTCATATTTTGTGCGCATCTCTTGTCATCTCTCTTTTCTATACGTCGCACACCAGATGTACTACTATCGCCGTCTTTCTCTTGCTTTCTCTCCCTGCTTGCTGTTTTTTGTTTCTGTTGCCACTGTCCCTCATCATACCCATGCTTGGGTGGTGGGCGGCGTGACCCGTTAGGGTAGCTGCCAATACAGTACGACTCCCTGATGTATAGAGAGACTTTCTGGAAAGAAATAGGGAGACGAGGAGGAAATGAAATTAGAATGGATGTTAGTTGCCGAATAGGTGATAGGATGCGTCAGCAAAAACATACTTTGGAAGAGAGATCCCGTCGTCTCCAAAACAGGCGTGAACGGGCGAATCAGCGCTGGTCACAGGAAACGTCGGCAGAGTGATCCCGTCGACTCCAGAACGCGCGTGCTCGGCACAGTCAGCGCCTTCCCAGGAAACATTTCCATCAGTTCCCACAACATGCACGATGAGCTAAGTAACAAAGCATAGCGTAGGGCCCTGAGCTTCCAAGCTCTCTCGTTCCGGGAACAATGCATGCGCACATACTATGTACTCTCCCTGAAAACCAGCGCTCTGTCTCGCAGCAGAGAAGGCATGTTATCCATTTAGCAAGACGTTAATGTGAATAGATGGAGATGTGGTGAGGGATTTCAGGAAAGAAAGCGCTAAAGAGCAGTTCTGTCCTCTTGTTACTATTCCGTGGAACCTGTGCTTGGCATACACATGACATTGCGCCACTTGTATTGAATTAATTTTTTTGTTATTTACCAGCATACTCCATCGCATACTGCTGTTTCCTTTTGGAAGTGTTACGTTCAACACATGCAATGGAAGTGCTGACTTGAAAGCAGTGCATTGTTTTGGGTTATCATGCTACGAACTTGTGTGCTTGTGTGTTCTTGTTTTCTTAGGATCACGAAGACGATCGGCCTGCATGGGATCTCCCTCTGTCAACACATTGCTCTGACAGTCAGCTGGCACGTGCTGTGCACGAGAGCAATGTCTTGTCAATGTTTGATATTGAGTAAGCTTGTGTTTGTTTGTTTTCGCTGTGCCAGGTCCCTTGTGTATTGATGATTTGTGCTACTGGTCATTTCTGCAACAGGTTTTGCTTTTATCTGTTGATTCTTCCTGTAGTAGCACAGTGTTTCCTGGGTTCCAGTTGTCTTGAATCTGGTCAAGTTCTCTGTTCTTACATATGCGAACGTTTCACTCCCTGCTTGTCTGGAGCAATCTATCCATGCATCTTCTTGGTTCAGACCACTGCGATGTGTTCTAGATGATTCAGACCACTGATAGGTGCTTTGGCCAGTCCAGACCACTAAGTCATCTTTTGTTGCTTTGTGCTCTTTGCTGGCAGACGAGAGGACATCAAGAGCAATGACTTGGTAAGCATGGGACCCATGGCCAGCTTGTGCAGTGTCCATGAATACGCTGTTGGTTCTGGTGACTCAAGACCATGTGTACTGCAACGTGTGTCATTCACATATGAACCTTGCAGAGTAGTAGCAATGCACGTATTGTTGGTTTCTGCTTGCCTGTATGTTACTTGCCCATCCTGTCTTGCTCAGTAGATACATGGTTGCCTTCCCTCTGCTGATACGTGTTTTCATGCTCATGTCCACAAACCATGTCAGTTAGCAAGACGCCTTTTTTTATGCTCACGTACCATCATTCCATCATTCCATCGTAGGCGTGTGTGTGTGTGCGTGCGCGTGTGCGCATGCATATGTGGGTGTGTATGTTATACAATGCATACGTGCGCACACTCACCCCTGCGTGTGACATGCGACCTGTTTGTGCTTTTCTGTGTTTAGTTCAACATGGCCCTGGACTTGTACATCTTGCAATCCACTGATGAGGATATTGCTCTTCGCCGTGAAATCATCAACACCTGGTTTGCTGAAATGAAACTGCCGATTGAGGAATTCGGCTGGGTCTCTGCTAGATTTAAGAAGCCTTACGGGATTGAGCACAATCTAGCTCGTCTAAAACTAAACGATGGGCTCGATCCCAGTGAGTTCAGTGTGTTCTACGTCTGTGCTTTGGGATTGTTCCGCGTATGACCTGCTCTTGTACTTCTGTACTTGCACCTAGATTCTGTGTGGTGTGGCTGACACAAGCACTTGGGTTTCCTTAGTCTCCCTATTGCCGAAAAGTGGGCCTATTCCTCTGCCATTTTGCAGTCAAGCTATAAGCCTTTAAAAAAAACTAGGGCTTAAAGGGTCACAACTTTTGCATGACCGGGTATCCTCTATAAAGTAACGGCCGGATAACCGATTATAACCGGTTATTGGACTCCAGCACATGAACATGAACAATCGCACCACACACCTTTTTTATAAACGATTGAGACCTATACATTGACATCAAAACCAGGCTGCCTTAACTTCAAGTTGAATTGTGGTGATGAAGACGGTTTTGTCCTCCGTGCCGAGCCGAAATTCTCACAATTTCCTCTCCACTGGATCTAAAACATGTACATTATAGCCGTCACTACAACCTTCTCCAAATCAAAAGCTCCGGCCAATGAGTGAAACGACATTAGTCTTCATTGTAGACATGTGCCAACGGTTGAGAGTTTCCTGCTATCCTGCACATGACGTTAAGATTGGTGCTGTACACCAAGCACTGCTACATTATACCAAGAGTTCATAACCCCCAAGAGTGTGCAACTCCTGATCAGTCCCTGTATGGAAGCCCGCTCGGCGGAATTCCTTCATTGCGTCATTTTTGGTGCAGTGCGATGAGTCACGCCGATGAATTCTTCTAAAATTTACAGCCAAACCAGGATGCTTCCCAAGGGTAAACTGCCTAAACTGCGATTCTAGTCTGAGTCTGAGCCTCAGCTCAAGAAGCAAAAGTGAAAGAAAGCACAGGATCCTAAAGACAAAACTATTTATTTTTTCGATGCAATGGTGACTCTTCAATGCCTTCTTCTTTCACCAGTGCAGTCAGTCTCTTCAAGAACAATTTCTTCCTCAGGCCATCGGCATATTTCCGGTGCTTTCCTCGAAGATGATATCAAATGGTTGAGGAACTAACTTGAGAGAATACGTCGAAGGAGCATTTTTCGGCTGAGTTGCACAGCTATCAGAATGATTGTCCTCGACGGCAATGCAATATTTTTAACAGCGTCCTCACTTCTTCCTGTCGTGATGTCCATGGATTCTTGGAGAAAGAGTTTGTTTTTGAGAAAGTACGACGTGTACGTCCGAAATGTCTTCAAAAAAAGCTTCGAAAAGTCGAGGCTACAGCCTTGAGTTAGGAACGGCTCAGGGTATAGTTTCCAGAAATCGCAAAGAACCCAAATTTACCTCGGATGACAAGCTGCGCATGACTTAATGTAGGAATTTCGCCGAGCGCTGGGTCTATGCCCGTTGCACACTCTTGGGGGTTATGAACTCTTGATTATACCTGTGCATGAAAACCGTTTGAAACCGCAAACGTAACGGTTTCATGACCAAAAGGCAATGGCAGTGTGCTATGCAGCAATTATGCAACAATAATCATATTAAAATGTGGAAATCTATAGTAAAAAGGCGACGTGGAGACAATAATCTTAATAATGCAATGAATATAACTAAATGCGCACTCATATCACAACCATGGATATTCCATTGATAATTGTGACAAGAAAACGTTCTGGAATACATGTACATGATTCGTCCCCATGGTTGTGATATGAGTGCGCATTTAGTTATATTAACACGCATGCACTCGCTATTGCAGACCAGTGGAGAGCACACATCATATGGAGGATTCATGGAGTGCTGGGCAACCGAATCTGGCATGTGATAATCATGTAGGATAGTCCACGCACGAGGTGCAGCCCATGAAATGGGCACCCATGAACTGGGCGGAGTGTGGACGGCCTGTATGATAGTGTGTATGTATGTCCACGCACAAAGTGCAGCCCATGAGATGGGCGCCCATGAAATGGACGGAGTGTGGACGGCCCACGCACACGAGGTGCAGCCCATGAAATGGGCACCCATGAACTGGGCGGAGTGTGGACGGCCTGTATGATAGTGTGTATGTATGTCCACGCACAAAGTGCAGCCCATGAGATGGGCGCCCATGAAATGGACGGAGTGTGGACGGCCCACGCACGAAGTGCAATGCCCGTTAGGAGGCAGGAGTGTGGGAGTACGAGTGTGATGGCCGAAGGCCGTGATAATTGCCAGATGAGAGGAGATAGCTGGCCCAGCACTCCTATTTATTTTCGTCTTGTATGAATTATGATACCTGTGTTGAATCAAGGATATCAATATTATTCATAGATGGGAAGAGGTGGGTGGGTGAGAAAGGAACAAACCGGTGTTCTTCTCACTACCCAAGCAAAGCAAATATGAAGTAGCAATACGGCCAGCGCGAAGTATGGTGTATGCGTTATGGGTTCAAGCTCCGATGTGTGCTGCAGCCGCATATGGCTGGTTGGCTGGCGAGTTCAGGTGAGTTCCGGCGTAGACCTACGCATGTTACATGCCACCACAGCGTGCATGTACGTGTTACTTGACATGCATCAATGAATAGCGTGGGATCTGCGGGCTCTTTGGAAGCCGCTGGAGCGCGTGTGAAGTGGTGGCTTGTGCAATGTGTTAACCTACATTACCGCAAGCTCTAATGTGCTATTAACACGCATGCACTCGCTATTGCAGACCAGTGGAGAGCACACATCATATGGAGGATTCATGGAGTGCTGGGCAACCGAATCTGGCATGTGATAATCATGTAGGATAGTCCACGCACGAGGTGCAGCCCATGAAATGGGCACCCATGAACTGGGCGGAGTGTGGACGGCCTGTATGATAGTGTGTATGTATGTCCACGCACAAAGTGCAGCCCATGAGATGGGCGCCCATGAAATGGACGGAGTGTGGACGGCCCACGCACACGAGGTGCAGCCCATGAAATGGGCACCCATGAACTGGGCGGAGTGTGGACGGCCTGTATGATAGTGTGTATGTATGTCCACGCACAAAGTGCAGCCCATGAGATGGGCGCCCATGAAATGGACGGAGTGTGGACGGCCCACGCACGAAGTGCAATGCCCGTTAGGAGGCAGGAGTGTGGGAGTACGAGTGTGATGGCCGCAGGCCGTGATAATTGCCAGATGAGAGGAGATAGCTGGCCCATGGTTGCCCAGCCTCCATGCTAAGTTGTGACACATTGCAATGCACGTGAATGACACTGTTGTTGCTATCAGCGCAGTTTGTCAGCACAATCCTAGCAGAGCAAGTTGCTGTGCTGTTCCAAACGGTCAGCCGTGTGGGTACGTGCATGGGTGCGAGTTGCGTGCCCGCGTGGCGGGTTCTTACATACCTCCATGCGTTCTGTGATGCGCTTGTACCTCTGACAGCTTTTGGGTCAGCTGCCCCATGTCTGTGTCGGTTGTCCTGATGTAGCGCAAGACACTGTCGCTTCTCCATCGGCCCATTGCCCTGATTAGCCAGTCCGGGGTACCCGCCATGGCTGCAGTTGTGGCGGCACCGATGCGGAACGAATGACCAGCGTAATCGCGTGAATTGGGTGTTCCCGTGAGTGGGAGAAGCTGCCGGAGCTCTTCTGTCAGTGCCTGCCTGGTCAGCGGTCTCCCAGGGCGGTAGCGGAAGAATGCGTCAGTGGCGTCAGACGGACAGACTGTAAAATATGCCAGGAGGGCGGCAACCGGGCAAGGTTGCGAAGTGGTACTACCGATTATCTGCATGGCCCTGACGAAGTTGGTCCGTCTTCGATTGCTTGATGTGGAAGCGGATATATGTGCGTCCTTGAGTGACATCCAGAGTCACATCCTGGCGCGTGGCATGAGTGGCAGGGTCAAACCCGGCTGGAGGCGCAGTGAATTCAGCGCATCGAAGAAATCCGAAGAAGGCGAGCACCATTGCCGCCTTGAGCATGCCCTTGTCCTGCTGGTGACGCCGTTGGTCCAGGCTGAGTGGGTTGAGGAGCTTCCACAGCAAATCAATGGTGATTGGGAGGCGAGTGCGCTGGATTGCCGGGTCAGTCGCCGTCCTCTTGATGCCTCACATAACACGTGGCGGCAGCAATGCGTTCATCGTTGGATCTCGGAATCCGGCTTCGAGATGCATGTTGCGTACTGCGGCCGTGTAGACATGCATTGTCTGTGGTTGAACCGATTGTGTGAGGTGTGCTGCGAAGCAGCTGGGCATCGTGTCTGTAGCCGGCATGGGCGTCCATCTCTGCAACGCACAGAATTGCGTAAATTTCCTTTCGCCAGTGGCGTACGTGCGCCGTGTTGTCGGGGCGATTGCCATGGCTGCCAGGTCGGCGACCTCCTGCATCAGTCCAGGAGAGGGAGGCGGATTGCAGTGTCCGGGGCTTGCTGTGCCGATGGTGCCAGCTGCTGGAATGCCTGTCAGAGTGATACGGAAATAGGGCTTGGCGCGGCTAAACCTCTTGTTGATATCCCATAAGCGCCGCGTAAATGTTCTGCCTGGTACGACGACGCTCGACGCAAAGGAGAGTTTCCCCAGGAAGTGATCGAGTTTGCGTTGCGTGGTCTGGGTGCAGCGTGACAGCTCGCTGAGGAGCTCGCGGAGGTCCGTCGGTTTGTCGTCTGGGAGACGGGCTTCCATGCGCACCGTGTCCAGCACAATTCCGAGGAAGGCAGTAATGTGTGAAAGCGGACAGTGTTCAGGGGAGTGGAAGTCGGCTTACTTTTTCTCAGTGGGCTTCGAAGTCTTCTCGTGGCTATCTGCAGGGCGCTGCCACCTGAAGCGGGTGGTGCTGGTGCAGGATGTGGCGGCATGTCCTTTGTCTTCACATGAGCTGCAGGCGTAGAGACGGTCGCAGGGTGTGCGGGAACAGGGCCTGCCGCGGTTGAAGTTAAAACAGATTTGGCGGGTGCTGCCCGCCACTGATGGAAAGGGCTGTGCGTGTTGAGCTGCGGCATGTGGGCAGGCAGCGGTCGCGGCTGTTTTGGAGCGTGCATTTGGTGCATGACAGACGGGGAGAGCGGAGTAGGCGAATACTCCACAGCGTCTGATTGATCACGTCCCAGCGCAGTGCCATGCTGGCGGTGTGTTGGCGAAATGCTCGATCATAGTTCAGCACAGGAGACGTCTGCATGACAGACGGGGAGAGCGGAGTAGGCGAATACTCCACAGCGTCTGATTGATCACGTCCCAGCGCAGTGCCATGCTGGCGGTGTGTTGGCGAAATGCTCGATCATAGTTCAGCACAGCAGACGTCGTGAACTGTTGGTTCGCAGTACAAAGTATGTGCTGGTAGCAGACAAGCTCATCAGCTCGGTCAGAACGAGCAAGAACGACGATGCCCATGTAGATCGTCCAGGCCTCCAGCCAAGCCGAGAAGTCGTTGATCGCGCGCGGCGCGCGTGTGCTTTGCGCTGAGGTTGAGCGAGAGCTGAGCCATGTCGCCGCCAGCTGTAACCAGTTGTATTGGCTCCTGTCCCTGGGACTTGGGAGCTGAAATTTTCCGGCAAGAGTTCCTCAAGTTCCACAAACTCTCCGCGCTGGATTTTTTCAATCGCACGACGTGGCGGTGTGGGTAGAACCGAGGGCTTGGAGAGAACTGGAGGTCCTGGCAAAGTCGGAGGTTCCGATAGAACTGGAAGTTCCGGGCAGGATAGGTCCGGAGCTTGACGCTCGGAGCGTGGGAGCGATCTTTCGGGTGCGGAGCGCGCGCGTGGGAGAGATCGGCTTCCAGATCAGACTCAGCACTGTCTGTTCTCCAGGCGTTCCACGCGTTCGAGGAGAGGGTGGAGGGCGTTCATCTTCATAACGGCTGAGGAAATGATGTCCGGGGAGAGCAATGAGGGCTCGTCCTGCATAGAAGCGTCGGTGCCTGGAGCGGGGTCAGAAGTCTGAACTAGCTGCTGACGGTGTGTCGGAGGCATCAGGCGCGAAGGCGCGCATGCCGTCAGTCCGCGCGTATGGCGAGGTCGAAGCCCTACCCGAGCGGTGACGGGTAACCTCGACGGCATACCCGCGTCCGCGTCCACGTCTGCTTCCTCGTACCGAGCCTTGTGGCATGGTGAAAGAGAGAGAAAGGGAGTGAGAAAGGAGAAAGGAACAAACCGGTGTTCTTCTCACTACCCAAGCAAAGCAAATATGAAGTAGCAATACGGCCAGCGCGAAGTATGGTGTATGCGTTATGGGTTCAAGCTCCGATGTGTGCTGCAGCCGCATATGGCTGGTTGGCTGGCGAGTTCAGGTGAGTTCCGGCGTAGACCTACGCATGTTACATGCCACCACAGCGTGCATGTACGTGTTACTTGACATGCATCAATGAATAGCGTGGGATCTGCGGGCTCTTTGGAAGCCGCTGGAGCGCGTGTGAAGTGGTGGCTTGTGCAATGTGTTAACCTACATTACCGCAAGCTCTAATGTGCTATTTAGTTATATTCATTGCATTATTAAAATCTATAGTACATTTATTTTATTTTGCTGAATAAAATAGCACACGTCAAACAAAGTGATAGGATGTCAGTATCTGCTGTATCATAAAATTATGTATTTTGGCAGTAGTACCTTGCCATGCCAAGTGCGTTGTGTATGTATACGCACGTGTGTGCATGCGGATGTGTGTATGTGCATCTGTGTGCGTGTGAGTGTATATATGACTGCGCATGGGAACGTGAATATGTGCCTCTGCATGGTTATCTATATGTACATGCTTGTATCGGTGTGAATGTGGGGTTATGACGGTGTCATGTATGGATTTTCATGCAGACTTGGGCCAGTTCTATTTGCCTGCTGATATTTTCGAACACACTCAGACGGTCCACTACATAGATCAGGCATTGGTGAGTGCATTATACATGTTTGATAGTGTGTGGCTGCAGTGTCCCGTATGCGCACTGTGTGAAGAAAAAAACATTGTGTTATCGGACGGTTCACCACGAACAGAGCATGTGACTTTGTTGATTCTACGTTTTGTTTATTTACGATATCCCCAAGAAAATATAAGCTCCGCGACCTTGTTCCTTTGTTCGGTGTTCCAATAGTAAAGAACAAGAAAAAAAAGGTAGGAGTCCTTGTCCCTCCAGATATCCGCCATGACTAAATGATAGGCGCATAGACAGCGCCCAGTACTATATACTATGCACGCATCATGCGGCAAAAAAGAGAAATTTAACGCTCCAGAAAACTGCAAAGCGAGGGGTTCCTCAAATGGACTGATGTGAGGTAGATAAGTTTCCTGAAAAATGGACAACACATCCGAGCACTGCTGCCCAGTGCACACACACTCATGAATTGTTGTTTTGTGAACGTGTAAATGCGTGAATGTCACCACACACTGAAACCATAGCTTTGGAAGGCCTCCAAAGGTGCTGGCAGTTATGAGAAGTATCTCATGAGAACTGAAAGTCATTCACTTTGTTTGCGCTGGGCCAAGTTGAAATTCTGTAAATCACAACTTTTGGCATTAATTTTAGGAGATGCCATGGTCTATTGTGGTTGATTGTAGATTGTCTGGATGTTGATTTAGTGGATCAAAATAACGGAAACCAATGTCACGTGTAACGTTACTACATGACTGTTGTGTGGTCTATTCCAAGTTACGGGCACCCATTGGTCCTATCATACTTGGACAAGAGAGGTTTGAGTGCAGCGGCAACTTTTTCCTGTCTGTTTGCTTTCTCTTTTTCAGGAAGATCATGATGATATGGCTCCTGTGATATCAACGTCCAAGGCGTGAGTTTAGCATATACATTGTAACTTAGTAGAGGAATCTCTGCTAGCTTCACACGACATTTCGAAGTAGACAGTGCCCTGTGCACGGCACAGGGCAGCAATCCACACACCATTGCAGTTCTGCCTACTGATACCCATACTCATTGCTTTGAGTGCTTGCTACCCAGGGTCTGGCAGTCTGTGGTCAGCATTTACAATTCCTTTTGCACGTCGAAACGCTTACGCTGCTAATAGACTGTGTGTTCTGTCTTGCATGGGCTGCTGCTGCTGCGTATGTGCATGTGTGTTTTGCGTGTGTGCTTGCGTTGTTACCTTGTGCACACCAGTGCTGTGATGCATGTCGAGTTACATAGTCAGGAGCACGACGAGGAAATCCCTCCGTTCAGCTTACATGCACTCTCAAAACAACCGGAAGGTATGTGGACAATAATGGGCAGTCTTGCATGCGTACGTGTGCGTATGTGCGTGTGTACATGTACATGTGCGTAATGGCGTGTGTAATCCCGTAGGTAGATCCTTCTTTCACAGCATGTGTGCACATGTACAATATTGTGTACTCCTGTCTGAACTTCTTGTTGGTTGTGAATGGGTGTTCATGCACGCGTTTTGGCACACATATGCAGTCATGTGTGTATGTATCCACGAGGTGTCTAGTGGCAATACTTGATACTCGCTTGACCTTAACTGGTGTGGTGTTACATCTGCTGCTTAGACTACCATGCGTCTTGCAATGGATGTCTGCATGTGTGTCTGTGTGCGGTATATGGTGTATAATCTGTGTACCAATGCATGATATGCACTGACTGTTAGATGTGAAGCACTGTTCTTCATTGCTCTTTCATGATGGATGCATTACAATACTCTCCTGTGTGTGATGATGATAGACGTACCTACTGTAGCAGGTGTGAAGCACCGTGCTATTATATCCAAGATTGCACCATTGGTGGAGAGCTCCTTTGATCTACTACGCGGCTATATCAGAGATGAAGCAGCGTCATTGACTGAGGCTGCATTGGACGCGGTATGCGTTTGTCTTGATTGATGTGGTGCTTTGGTCTTCTACAAGGTGATGTCCAGTCACACTTCACACTTGTGGTCTGGTTACGTCATGTTGCTTCTTGGCACTGTTCTTGCATGTTAGTAGGAGTGTGTTGTTCAGTTGCATTGCCTTTGAATTGCAAATGGAGGAGTCTTGGTGAATATGGAATAACCGTAGCATAATTATTATTATCACTCCGGGCCTATTCAAAGCTGTAACTATAAGGCGCCCTTGATGTTTGTATTGTGTTGTTGCTGTTCTACATGCGATCAGGCTATGCGGGGCCTGTTCTGGCGGCGTCAGTTTGTGGCATTTGTACGCCAGCCTGTTGGTTGGACAACATTGGCGGAAATGCTGCTCATGTGGTCATGGTTTGACAAACATGTTGTCAGTCTTGTGAATCGGGTGTGTCCTCATGTGTAAGTAATGACGTTAGTCTGCATCGCTAACTTGTCACATGTTGACACTAAAACATATTAGATCTCGTTCAACATTTGCAGTGACGCAAACATAATTATAGCGTTATGGAACAGCATGAAGCTGTCAATGTCATCCACACTGCACACCACACAATCCACAGAGTTATTGATGATATGCGGGGAAAGCGGGAAGCTTGAAACTGTGAAAACTGTTGTTGGCTTTGACTATCGTTAACCTGTTCTGTGCTTAGCATGCTATGCCCCATCCAGCTTCCACAAAGATCTATTGCGCACTCTCCCATGATGCGCATTGTGCCATCTGACGTTTGGCGTATGTCCCTCGTGATATCTTCTTGTATATGTGTCACAAGTATTGAATGGGTTTTGACCATATAAGTTTATCCCATGGTACGATGCGATTTGGGCAATTTCAGCCAATCAGCAGCTGTTCTGAGCGGGAAATATAGAGTGATATACCCTGTCGGGGTCAAAAATATTCCCCGGGTCACGTCAGAGAGTAAACAGGGAAGATTTTAGTGTTAGTCACGCTCTATTTGGGACAGTACATGGGATAAATCAAATGGATTATACCATTCGTACTCTGTGTATACCGTGTCCCTTATATTTTCCGCTGTATACCCCTCATACTCATGGTATAATCCATACGTATTTTGCGCATTGTTGTGTTTCGTCACAGCCCAGAGGAGTTCAATGCAACAGTGAGGCAGATGCGCACCCTGCTGCCACAATACGAGCGGTGGGCGGTCAGCGGTGAAGAGTGGCCGTTACTGATTGGACACCCTCCACCACTTTCCAGCAAGAAGGCTTCTGACTGTTGGGTAAATACTAAATACGTTCTGTTATGCTGCACTGTATAGTTGTTGTAGTAACTGCCTTTTCTCCACCTGCTCCCAGTCCCGTGCCATCTCCACACTTATACAAAGGGACGACGATAACTACATTCGAAGACTATTTATTGACACGACGACGACGAAACACAACTAGAGAAGACGAACTCAAGACGAAGACATGATGAACTCAAGACAAAGACTGCTTTTCATACCACAGCAACACGCGCATGCACCAACATAACGTACACACGACGTACACAAAATAACGTACTATATACGATATGGTAAGTCTACTACAGTTGTATATGTGTAAAACAATTAACCTGCAATCTTATTGTCTTGCACACGGCTGTTTTTTTCGCGAAATTTGGACATTTAACAAGATGGCAGCCAAAAGTCTCGATTGGGCTGGATCGGCAAGGAAATTTGAATTTTCAAATTCTCAGCAGCCGATTTCGCTGTGGTTTTCGCTCGATTTAGAAAGCTACCAGGCCAGGTTTACCCGGAAAACAGGTATTCCGTGTTCCTCTTGAAACTAGCTTTCCGCTGGTACCTCACATGGCCAACTTCGTCTCAGGAACAGTTTGTTCCGCGTTGCACAAGTCAAGCCTTCTTTCTCGCTCGTTCCTTGATTCATCGTTGACATGCCTGCGTCAAGAAGCCCTTTCAGGAGTTTTCCCAGTCTAGCTTTCAGTTTTCCCAGGTAGAGGACTATCTTCTGGCTATCTTCACCAAGTTTTATCACGTCCCGTGCACAAACTTCAGGTCCCGTGCGTTCGATGCTGAGCTACCTTTTCATGCGATTTAGGGGACAGATGGCATGGCGCTGGAGTCGCTGTTGAGTCCAGGAGGCCGAGACCTGGTGGAAACTGCCCAGTAGACATGTGGGGTATTGCTGAAAAAGGCAGCAAGCACACAGATAGCCCCGAAATTGTGATGTAGATCCAATTGTGCGTTTGTTCGAGTGCATATCGGCAAATTTGAAAGTTGCACCCGTGATCCCGGCGAGGAGAAGCTGAAAATCAGTGCGTGCGTCAATATCCAGACTACCAGGGACAGCTTGGAGAGGTTCGAAAAGGTCAGGATGCTGGTTGACCACGGCAGGAGTTCCTTTTACCTTCCTTCTCTCTCAAATTGTCTGGATATTGAGTATCTCGCTCGAGCGCTTTCAAATAATAAATCCTGGTTTGACTTGCGAAATCGTGGAACCACCCGGAGAGTGACATGAGATTCATCCCAAAACGCAAACTCCCATCGTATTCATGAGGTTTGCACCGCGTTACGTAAATCGCACCAAACGACTCCATATTGTTAGATGTCCGTGCGCGAACAGCCGTGTGCACCGAAGCTGCTTGTCACCCTGCTGTAAAGGGAAAGGCCAAAAATTGTACCAGTAAACGCTGGCTGTGCTACCCCAGCATCACACTATTTAGAAGTTCAGAAATCACACTTCTAGCAGGTATTACTGTGACTGTTTTGTTCCTGCATTTAATAGCATTGCTATTTAGTATTTTATCAGTCTCTCCAATATACAAAGTGGGTTCTATGCGCTTACATTTGTATCCATTCTACAATGTTGGTGTTGTAATGTGTGTTGCAATGTGTGTTGCAATGTGTGTTGTAATGTGTGTTCAGATATCATTGTACCGGTCCGCTGATCAGCTAGTATCTGCACTGACTGGTCGGACACTGTCAGTTGCTGCATCCACCGGCAAGTTGCCCGAGCTTAAGCAGCTCTGGTTTACTTGTGTGGAACTGCTTCGCAACCTGTGGCTCTCCCTGCTGGTCAACAACCCTGTGCCAGGTTAGTACTAGTATCCTGCCTTGTTCTCATTCTCTATGCCTGCTGTGAGATGAATGGTTTGGCTTGTGCATTTGCTTTGGTTAGAAGTGCCTGTCTGGGTGTGTAAGCCCTAATATATTTTTGTTGTTGCTTTGCTTGTGCCATTTCCAGAAGCAATGGTCGAGAAGTGTCACTCGTGTTCTGACCAAATCAATAAAGCCTTAATGGCTTGCCATGCAGCTAATGAAGATGCGGCTATGCTGGATGCATTGTCTGCCGGTCAGCACATGGCTACGTCAGGACTGGAAGTGGATTTGACATCATTTGCTTTGATGAGTCCATTTCTGATGCAGGCTCTAAGAGCCATTGTCACGAGGGTCACGAGCCTTGCAACGTAAGCATGGTCCAATCTGTTTCTCTGTGGCATGGAGTGTGGCCAGCAGTTGTAGCTCGTTTGATCAGTGCGCATGTGTTTACTTGTTCCGTAAATTCACCTGCATGTTCTAGTAACCTCGTCGTAACTGCAAGCCTCTCCTCTCATTTTTCTTATCCACTCCTTGTGCTTTTGCTGAACCCCAATGCCCCAGATGCATATTCATCAGTTTCAGGGAATGAGAAGGGGAACGTCTGAGGAAAAATAGACTGTCACCACCCGGGCTCGAACCAGGGACCTTCGCTAAGGTTACCTTTAAAAAGAAATCTTGGTTTGTTAAGTTTCATTCTGCTTCACTCTTGCTCGCTTTTCACTATTTCCCCTCGCATCGCAGTTAGTTTCGGGAGTGGAAGACACTGTGACGCACCGCATAAGTAGCTTGTTGATAGTAGTGGTACAAGTAGTAGGATATGGTTCCGGGTGTGCGGTGCATGCATCAGAAATAGATGTGCGTGTGTGCGTGTGTGTTAACCTTCATACTCGTAGTGCCAGGAGCGATGTGATCACCACTGGTTGTTTTGGTATTTGCTTGTCTTTAGTGTTCGACATTGCTTACAAGACACAATAGACGAAGGTTTGGGCCAAGACGAAGTAGAAGCGCTGACCGCATACATTGCACCCGTCATCGGCTATACACGCCAGTATAGTGTGTTGGTCCCTGTGGTCATCGTGGCTTTACTTGAGTCACTGCGTAGTCTTCTGCAATCCAGTCAGGTAAGAGAGCTGTAAAATCTTTCTGAGTGAAAATAAATGTGTATGGTAAATGAGTACTAGCAGCATATAGTATAAATGATATGACGTAGTCCAATCGCTGAATCGGGGACACGTTGTGTGTGATTGTGTGTGTGAGTCTCGAAGTTCATTACAATGGTCCATCCTGCTGGGTTGTGGTGGGATTGAGGAAACTTACAGAACTGCCAATTGCATTGGTTTTAAATGATTTTTTGCGCACGCGCAAAAATATGTTAACACAGAAGGCGCATGCTCTGTTCCCAACAAACTCTCACACGCTCATTGTTCTCCGAAGTCCACTGTTCCTGACTTCAGTTCTTGCTTTGTCCGCATTGGCAGTGGATTTCTTTCTCAACCTCAATCTCAAGGTTTACCACAGCTCACGGAGATGCCCCGTGCACGTAAGCAGTCGGCTCCCGGGCCCAGGCGTTCCAGTCGCAGGCGCGCCTCGTCGTCCCCGTATGCCGACACTCCAAATCGAGCCCCTGCGGACCATGCGGCCGATCGTTCCGGCAATGCCCGTGCGGATCGTTCCGGCAATGCTCGTGCGGAGCAGGACGATATCCCGTCCGCCGTTCCCCAGCCGGCCAGCTTACTCACAACTGGCCTAGATCCACGTTCCGTTACGGCGGCCGTGTCGACGGCCCTGCACCCCCTGCTGGCTCGAGTCGAGCGCCTTGAGGAGCGAATTTCAGCTCGCCAGGATCCGGACGGCCATGCTCAGGCGGCGGTCCCCTCAGTGGCAGATGTGGTCCAAACCGCGTCCAACACCGTCACCCATCACCCGCCGCAGGTCGACTCCGGCCCCATGGACATTTCCCTCATGCAACCCGCGCTGCCTCCGATCGCAGCGCCCATGGCGAACACTCGTGAGTCCAGCTCTATTGTTCCCACGGTCCCGCGTAAGTTGCTTGACAAAATCACACGCGGCGAATATATTGAGCTGGAGGATCTTCTCCCAGAGAATGTGGGCGCAGGGTCCGAGCCCTTGGAGCTCAGCACCGCCAACGGAGAGGGCCGGCGTGTGTCCCTCAATTTATGTGTGACTAAGAAGCGCTCCATTGTCGACTTCACTGCCTGGCTGGAAGCCTACACAATCTACATGGCCTGCGCACTGAAACATATGCCATTCCGAGCACTGGAGCTGGTGACGTACCAGCACATTATCTGTACTGCCAACCAGCAGTTTGCGACCCCAGCTGTACTGGGGTATGACCGTGCCTTCCGTGCAGCGGTGGCAACAACCTCGGCTCGTTGGGACGCAATCGACCAAAGCCTCTGGAGCCTGCACCTGATCCGGGCACCCCGACCATCATGTCCGCGCTGCACAACGCACCACAGCCGTGACCGTTGCCCACAGTATTTGGCAGGGCCACATGCTCCAGCTGGCACCAACACCAGCCGTTCTACGCAGCCATTTCTGGCCGGGGCGGGCAGCACCCGCCAGATCTGCCTCAACTTCAACCGTGGCCGCCCATGCCAACACCAGCCCTGTGAACGCTTGCACGTCTGCTCAACCTGCGGCGACCGAGGTCATCCCGCCGCTCGCTGCACCAACGACGGTCGCCGGGGACCCCGCCAGACGGACAAGCCCGTCGCAGCGAAGTAGTCTCCCCACGCCTCTGTACATAGCCCGCCTAATGACTCTTCTGCCTCGTATTTCTAATCGTGTCCTCTCTGACTTTATCCTTAATGGCTTGCAACACGGGTTCCCCATTGGCCACTCTGGTGCTTCTGTATCTATCATCTCCGGCAACCTCCCAACTGCCATTGAACATGCTCAGTTTGTACAACAACAAATTGCTGACCGGGTCCGACGTGACGAATCGGCCGGTCCTTTCTCGGTCCAGCCTTTCCACCCATTTGTATGCTCTCCGCTCGGCGTAGTGCCCAAGAACAACGGGAAATTCCGCCTCATTCACCACTTGTCTTACCCTGACCGTATGTCTGTCAATGATGGAATAAACAAGGATTCGTTCTCCCTACATTATGTCACAGTGGACGATGCCATTGAGCGTCTGCAACGTCAAGGTACCGGTGCCTTGATGGCGAAGCTCGACATACGCAATGCATTTCGACTGGTCCCGGTCGCACCCACTGCATACCATTTGTTGGGTTTCCAGTGGCAGGGCCAATTCTACTATGACAAAGTACTGCCATTCGGGCTGAGGTCCGCACCCTACTTGTTTAACTGCATTGCGGACGCACTTTGCCAGATAAGCTGTGAACTGTTCCAGGTTCCCCACCTCCTGCACCTTCTGGACGACTTCTGGCTCTGTGGCCCTGCAAACTCAACGCTATGTGCGCAGCGTCTGAACGTAGTCCTCTCCGTATTCCGCTACCTGGGAGTTCCCATTGCCGACGAAAAGACAGTCGGCCCAACCTCCTGTCTCACCTTCCTGGGCATCGAACTGGACTCCGTCCAGAAAGTGGCTCGTCTCCCACAGGACAAGGTTGACGACATCCGCTCCAGACTATTGGCCTTTCGCCAACGCCAATCCTGCCGTCTACGGGAGCTTGAACAGCTGTTGGGCAAGCTGAACTTTGCCAGCCGCGTCATCACGCCGGGCCGTACATTCATGCGCCGACTGTACGATGCCACGCGCAACGTTTCCAAGCCCTACCACCGCATCCGTCTCTCCCCAGAATGTCATCTGGACCTTCTTTGGTGGTCTCACCTACTCGATGGCTGGAATGGCAAGTCATTCTTCCTCGATCTCCAGGAGACTCTGGCCAGCGACATCCTGATAGAAACTGACGCATCTGGCGCCATTGGGCATGGTGCAGTTTACGGCACGCATTGGTTCGCCGACACCTGGTCACCACAACACACTCCGCTCTGCATTACGTTCAAGGAGCTGTACCCCATCTGCATTGCATGTGCTACGTGGGGCCACCAGTGGTGTCGCAAGCGTATCCGCTTCCATACCGACAACGAAGCTGTCGCCGCTGTTCTCAAGTCTGGCACCAGTCGCTGCCCTAATGTGATGTCACTCCTACGGCAGCTCTTCTTCATCTGCGCCAAGGGTAATTTTATGGTCACCGCCCGTCACATACCGGGAACTACCAACATCCTTGCTGACGCTCTCTCCAGGCAAGATTTCAAGCGATTCCATTCGTGCCACCCTACCGCCGCTCACATGCCCACTCCCGTGCGTGCTCTTCCGTCCATTCCTGGGGAGACTTCGGCCGTGCCTTGCACAGCCGAGTGACGGAAGCCCACATGCAAACTGCCATGAAAGCTGGCAGCACCGGTCCTGGGTAAGCGCTGATCAGACAGACTGAGCCCACTTATTGTGGGTGCCAGAGCATAACCGAATGCCACCTATGTACCGACTGTACACTCAGTAACTCAATATCACTCTACTATTGTCCACAATCTGTGGCACCCCCTCTACAGTTAACAGTGAATAGGAGGTTCTCTATTTGGGGAGTCAACCTTGCTTACCAGGCTCCTCATACGGCTCATTCAGCCTCTCACACTCAGACGGCTCACTCAGCCTCGGCTCACTCAGCCTCTCAATACGGCTCACTCAGCCTCCGCAGCCGGGCCCTGCCCGGCTGCCTCCATACGGCTCACTCAGCCTCCGCAGCAGGGCCCTGCCCAGCTGCCATACACACACATTCACACAGCTCTAAGCTGTCACTCACTCGGAGCCTGGCAAAGCAATTGACAAACCCTCCTATTCCCCAAACTGGTTGCTCGTTGTGTGAGTGCGGCATGCAGATGCTTGTGTTAAATGATTTTTTGCGCACGCGCAAAAATATGTTAACACAGAAGGCGCATGCTCTGTTCCCAACAAACTCTCACACGCTCATTGTTCTCCGAAGTCCACTGTTCCTGACTTCAGTTCTTGCTTTGTCCGCATTGGCAGTGGATTTCTTTCTCAACCCACCCACCCACTCCACTATTGTCATCATCATGTTTCCTATTCTAGTTCTCTCCTGTCGGTATCCATTATCATACCGGCCTACAATAACTACACCGATGCCGTCTACCGGCGAAACTCTGTAAATACATGGAGGGGAGTCAACCTTGCTTACCAGGCTCCTCATACGGCTCATTCAGCCTCTCACACTCAGACGGCTCACTCAGCCTCGGCTCACTCAGCCTCTCAATACGGCTCACTCAGCCTCCGCAGCCGGGCCCTGCCCGGCTGCCTCCATACGGCTCACTCAGCCTCCGCAGCAGGGCCCTGCCCAGCTGCCATACACACACATTCACACAGCTCTAAGCTGTCACTCACTCGGAGCCTGGCAAAGCAATTGACAAACCCTCCTATTCCCCAAACTGGTTGCTCGTTGTGTGAGTGCGGCATGCAGATGCTTGTGTTAATGGCCTGTGGTGTGTGTGTGTGTGTGTGTGTATGTGTGTGTGGTTGCGTGTGTGTGGTTGCGTGTGTGTGGCTGCGTGCATGTGTGTGTGGCTGTGTGTGTGTGTGTGTGTGTGTGTGTGCGTGCGTGTGTGTGTGTGTGTGTGTGTGTGTGTGTGTGTGTGTGTGTGTGTGTGTGTGTGTGTGTGTGTGTGTGTGTGTGTGCGCGCGCGTGCGCGCGCGGTCTGTCCCTTGTGATCTCTACACCAGGATATGAACACATTATCATCCCGCTGCGGTCATATTCTGCCAGCATTGACATCCGCTGTCCTCTCTTGGAGTCAGCAGTACAAGCAATCTGATCTCAGCAATGTACGTATGCCCTATACTATGCAATTTATGTATGCCCTGTGCTGTGCTCTTTCCTCAAGAGTACACTGTTTGTAACTGCTCCGATCATGTTGATGACACCAGAATCTAGTGTATTTTGAACTGTTTTCTAGGGCATACACTGTGTACCAGTGTATAAGCCAGACCCTACTCCCTTCAAGGGGAACAGCACTTTCCAGTTTGCATTTGATTCTAGTAGAGCGCATGGTGGTAGAAGCAGCCACAGAACTTGTTTCTGGCAGGTTTTTCAGAATTATAGTGTGACGCACTAGTACATGTATACAGTGTATTGTGTGTATTGCAATGTTTCTTTACCGTGGCTTGTTCACACACCCATGTTCTTATACACAAGTACAGTGCACCAGAAAAAAATATAGGTAGATGATGTAGCATTTGCTATTGTTGTAGATTTGTAATAGTAGACACCCTTAGCAAACAACGGTAACGCTATTTTTTTTACGGTACTCGTACCTTGATCACCCGAATAGCGTTGAAGCTGCAGCGTAAATACGTTATGGGGTCTGATTTATCGTTGTGACCAACAGTACGTTTTTTGGCCAAATATTGCATAGTCCGTACGCATTTCACCTTGTATCGCGTATATGGTGACATAAATGGTTGTACCGCGCGAAGTAAAAGCTATTCTCGTGGCAACAGCGTACTAAAAATAGCGTGCATCTTGCTAAAGGTCGAGCCCAAATCACGGTATTTTCCCCCTTAGGCGAGACCAAAATAAAATCGAGATTCCCGGGCAGGACCCATGTGAAATTGGTGCGGGCGGGCGAATTTTATTTTTTTATTTTTTCCCATGTATGTACTTGACTATATATGTGGGCATGCCATGTTGAACTTTTTTTACAGCATTTTCCGGTAATTTTTATTCAGTTTTTTTTACAGAAAACAGGTACGCGGTTTACCCGTTCAATTTTCTATAATTCGGCCAACGATGGCCCTGATGTGTACATCTGGGAGTCGTACAAGCTCGGGTTTGTGTGACTCCACGTCACAGATCTACTCACACGATCAGTACTGTACATGTATGAACTGTTCAAAAAAAAAAAAAAAAATTGGCTTTGGCTCGATTTTGGTGCGGGAGGGCCCGGGAATCTCTATTTTTTTTTGGTCTCGCCTTACGGTAATACCGTTACAACATAACGTTGTTTGCTAAGGGTGTCTAGTGCGTCACAGTGAACATTGTGCACTGCTGCATTTACTAGTGCATTGTATGTGCTGGTATGCGTGTAACAACTAACTAACAAGTACTGTAGCTTGTGCTGATAGTAGTCAGAGATTGTGCCTCGCACCTTCCAGAGAATGCTGTTACTCTGTTGTTGAAAATTGAAAGAGTACATGGATCCTGGCACCAGCAACCACTGCAAGTAGCAGTGTTCACATTAGTAACCTGCTCAAGAGTGTAGTGTTTCAGAACTGCTGAATAACACACTGTCTTCTTTTCCTTTTTCTCACAGGTGTCGCTGTCATCTGTACTGTTCAACTTGTTTTCTACTAGTGAAGCAGCCATGAAATCGAGTATCACTGGTCTAAGGAACGATGTCAGTGGCAGTGCCAGCGGTAGTGCTATTTCTCTGAATGCATTCTCTCTGGCTGCCCAGAGCAACAGTGAGCGCTTCTTGAACGATTTCCAATGGCACTTGTGGATAAATGCTGTGCAGGAGAGACAACGCCGATGGTATGTGATCTTACTCTGCTCATTGCTTTACTTCAACTATTCTGTTCATTGAGATACAGCATTTTAAGACAATTGTCCCCTCCCCCGTCTCTTGTTGTTCATGTGTATGCCTGTTGTAAGATGTTGAAATGTTCTTCTCTTCTGATGCTGTTTGTCTACTTCTGTGATATATTCTTAGTGGTGCCAAATGTACTGGTAGCCCTTTCCCTATTTGCATGTAGCGCACACGCACGAGCGCACACGCGAAATAAATATTGTCCTTGCAAGTGGGCAGTAGACCAGTTCCTTTATGTGCACTCGCGGTTGGCGTCATTCGTGCAGATGCGGGGCAGCATTGCCCCGTGGTTGGATGATATTTTGAACAAGCAGCCTTACCAAGTTTGGTGCACCGGTAGAGCACATGCATGCGGCTGCAGCTCGCCGAGTGCTCAGTACCCGGGGACAAGTCCGTATATCTTTGACCACTACTGCAGTAGTCTATACAAGCTAAAGCTGTCCAGCCTCATCACCATGCCAAGGCGGGACACCCAAGGACAGCGTATATAACACTTATTTTGTCCTGTGTGACTGTCCTGCTCGGAGCATAGTAGATGCTTGGACAGTCTGAAAGTTCTGCTAGCCTGACCATTGCCAGGGGTTTCTGTGCTGACTTTATGCTCTCTCCAGGACACAGATCAAGGCCAACCTGCTTACTCAGTTCATGCACATTGTGGCTTTCATCACAGAAGTTCCAAGCCAGGAGTTACACGATACGCTGCAGGACAGCTTTGATCAATACCTGAACTCTATTGCCAATGCAGCCAACGAACCGTTTTTGTTTGACAATATCGACACGGACGCTTTTCATGGCGACGAGCTCAGTGGAGCCACTGTCGATGACCTTGAAGCGTATGTGGGCGATATCCTGCAGGGCTTCAATAACTTCATGACATTGGACTCATGGAACGTGGATCTGGGCGCTAGTGCCCGTGCAGCGCAGATTTCCATCAAGATGAGCTTGTTCAAGATGAGGCTAGTGACTCCTTGTGACCAGGTGGACCCAGCTGTTCGGCGGACATTGTGCATTGATCACTGCCAGCAAATGGTATGTAGTTGTGTCCTGGGATTTGAAATTGATTTACACATGAACTGTTGTCAGGCGAAACACTGACAGTCACACACACGTGTGTCTTTCTCTAACCTGGCATTGGTGAATGAACGCCAGGTCAGAGTACGAAGTTTGTTTTTTCGATTACGTGTGTGTGTGTGTGTGCGAGTGTCCGGGAGAGAGAGAGAGAGAGAGAGAGAGAGAGAGAGAGAGAGAGAGAGAGAGAGAGAGAGAGAGAGAGAGAGAGAGAGAGAGAGAGAGAGAGAGAGAGAGAGAGAGAGAGAGAGAGAGAGAGAGAGAGAGAGAGAGAGAGAGAGAGAGAGGAGACAGAGACAGAGAGAGAGAGAGAAACAGAGACATAGACAAAGAGGGAGAGAGAGACAGGGAGAGGAAGAGAAGAGAGAGACCAAGGATGGTGGTCAGAATATGAGCTTAACTCTTATTTTTGAATTCCTACCTACCGAAATACATTTATTTGTGTACATATGCATCTGTTTCCTTAGCGGAAGCCTTTTGCCATTGGTATTACAGGCTCATTTGGGAGAGTTGAGATGAGGTCTTCCACTAGAGTAGCATTGTTGAGTTTACCTGAAATTAGTCAATAGAGCTTCAGACCTAGTATGCCTGGGCATTGGGCCAAGTGGCTGGCTGTAACCTAGAAAAGTGCAAGAGCAAAGAAAAAGGAGAGAAATCCTTCATTCTTGCAAACAAGAACAACTTGCACCTTCCAGCCTTCTGCTGGAAGAGCTCTTGGAGGTAAGAAGTGATACCAATTCCAGATGGGCCCAGCGAGAGTACTCTTCCGAGGCGTGTGGCTCATCATGATATGAAAGATGCCGTCACAAATTAATTCCTAACACCTTTGAATTTTCGGCTGTGTTTTATATGTATTTTAGTCCGCCACATTGAGATGTCAACGCGAGCTACAGCGTGCATTCGACATGCTTAGATTTGGAAGGAACAGCTCACTATACGCTCTTGTTTGTGAGCAACTGTATCAGGATCAGCATGGCTGTGTAGCATTGTCTCCGTTCGCAATGAATCCATTCAAGGAGAAACGGCTGCACCAGCGCATGTTGGCCGTCGCTGAACTAGTTCAGGAGAATAAACAGAGTGCAATATACCGTCCTGAAGCCGATGGTTATAGTTCGCTCGTGCAGACTATGACAAGTTTCAAGGAGCTGCTGGCAGACTCTCAGAAAATCGATCTGCTGTTGAACCCATTGTGTACTGCCCTGAGTGAAGGTGTGGTGGCAGACGATGTAGAGCACGTGCAGAATGCGCTACAAGCAGCCCAGACTTGGCAACAGTCTGTACAGCAGTTCTGCAGCACCATGCAGCACTCATACGCACAGTATGCTGATGTGGCTGAGCCTTGTGTTGCCGCTGCTAATGAGGTATGTCACTTTCACCCTACCGTTATCGTGGTAATCTTATGCTGCTGTATAATACCAATGCTATATTATTTGATTCAGTTCTGGATATTGCGCATATGGAGGTGGGAATTGGAAATTACAACTACTTGTATCAACAAAGATCAGAAGTGAAGGTATTTAAAATGGCTTTCCAGCATAGGTACTGAGCCGAGTATCTTTTACTGTAAATGGTATTCTGCGTATTGTTATTTTCTCAAATATCCCTTGTCTCATGTATCCCTTGTTTACAGATAAGTGATGCTGTCCAATGGGTGATGGACGAGTGCAAAGAGAAATACGGCACCTGGAATTTGGTAAGTTGACTGCCAGACTTTCTCTTGTTTCCTTTCGGCTCTTTGTACTTTCTCTTGTTTCCTTTCGGCTCTTTGCTTGTTGACGATCTCTTTGTTCTCGTTATAGGGCTTGAAAGTGTTCATCCAAGGATGAAAGGATTGAACGGATTTCAAAACGCACCGTAGCGCGCCTGAATCCGTTCAATCCTTTCATCCTTGGATGTCTAGTGCACTCGTACACGACGTCCCCCTCAGCCGGGCTCAGACTCGACCAGAGTGCCTTCTCTCCAATGTGTCTAGTACACTCGTACACGACGCCCCTCTCATCTCAGGCTCGACCAGAGTGCCTTCTCTCCTAGTCTGGTACATTCGTACACGACGTCCCCCCTCAGCTGGGCTCAGACTCGACCAGAGTGACCTGACCCTAAAGCTGCCAAGTGATCCTTTACGGACCTCCCGGCCCATTGCCTTAGTCATGTGTGTCCTAGTTCGACCAGGAGCACTGGTTAATTCAATTCCTTCCAGTTTTCGTTGGATACTTGGGTCACTCGGCGTTTCCGCTGAGTGTCCCTGAGCCTGCCGTCTCTAGGACTTGTCATCTGGTCCTCCCTTCCGTGCCTCCCGATACACCGTCCTAAGCCAGTAGTGTGTTACCCGCGTGTGTTGTAACACTTCTCACACATCACACCTGCTGGCGTTCCCGTCAGCCTGTGTGTCCTCTCCTAAATATGCTGTATCTTAGCCTTGCCTGACTAAAGGACAGCATCTCCACTCATGTCTAGAAAGAAAGTGAACAACGACCACTTTCATTCTTATGACTGCATGACCATGAAGAAGTAGTTCAAACTGCAGCTCCTGATATACTACCGGTGATGGCACCATGTAAAAATGTGTTACACACCTATACCCGTTCTTACCGCTGAACAAGCGTGACTCCAGAGACCCAACCCTGTATGTCAATGTCACTGCCGAATATTTATATCCCGAACCAGCCCTCTTGCGAGTACACTACTTGTCGGTTCTAGATATATGCCCAGGTTCCTCGCTTCACGTATCAAAAAGGCTTATACATGCCGCCAGGTTCTGACCAAACAATCTCAAGAAAATGAGACTTCCCCACAGTTTTGGTCCTTGCCTCCATTCCTCACCATACACGCGATCAGAGCGCAACCAGGTTAAGATAAAAACACTTTTATTGAATTGACATAATAATTATGTGATTCAACAAAGAGGCCGCATATCACGCGGACTTGTCGGGGGTAGTCGGCAAGTCCGTTGGTATTTCCGTGTCCTTCTTACTAAACGCCTTGTCTTTCTTGGGCTTACGTGAGTTTTTACGAGTTTTCTTTCTCGGTGGCTCTTCGGATTCATCAGTGCGGTGGCTGGCATGCCGGCCCAATATCCGAAAGGATATCAGGGACAGAAAGTCCAGGTCTTCCTTCAACTTCCTCAAGTGTCGCCCTTGGTCAGGTGGACCCACGCCTTCGAATAGAGCTATTGCCCGTTCCAAACACTGCATGGTCGGAGTCTCCCGCCCCTGGCCTGCTTCCTGCGTAAGGGAGTTGAGCTTCTCTATCATTTCCTGTGCCATTCTGGATAAGACAAAAACGCCACACCAGAAAAAGAACCGAGGATTAGTTCACATTGAGTGACGGATCCTGGTCACAGCACCAAATGTCATGACCCGACCCCAAGGGTCAGTCAAAAGCCTGCGTTGCGAACAACACCAAATAGGACCGCCACGAAGTCTGAACAAGACCCAGAATCCCAAGTGCACAATATATGCACGCCATCACTCAACAGCCCACCAAGAGTTCCATTTCCAAGGACATGCCTTGTAGATAGGTCAGAGGTAGAGTAAGAACGAGGAGATCAAGATAGAAGCAGTACCGGAGTGAGAGGACGAACGTATAAAAAGACAGGGACTTATATTCATAACAATAACTAACAGCAGCCAATCAGAGCACACATACTGTACTCACTAGTCATATTAGACGGCGGGACAAGGGGACAAGTAACGGACAAAGCAAGGTTCATAATGATTGAACGCCTCATAACGGCGGGATACAACATGCAAGAATGGAAGAAGATACTACTTCCTCCTCGTCATCGAAATTGTCGCAGTTTGACTTTTGATATAAAACGGGGTATTTACTCTCCAGCACTCGTACCAGAGGCAAGGAATCGGACATAGGCGATAGTCATCAGTATAGGGTGACGGCAAAGGTCTATTTTCTGTTATTGGAAGCTGGAATTTTTGAACTAGACGCCATTTCTTCGCTGATGTCGCTGCGATGGTAATTTCGACTCGCTGAGATCAGTCAGGCGTTGCAGCCTGCACATTTCTCGTGCTTATGGCCATTCACTCAAGCCTCATCACTGTTTTACCTTAGTTGGGGTGAGAATGACTTCGTGGAACAAGTGGCAGCGCTTGGAGAAACATCGAGGGGTCAGCAAACTAAATGCCTGCAACAGCGATAGAATTTGTCGCTCTGGCTGAGACACTCAGTACATGATTGTACCTGCAAGAGCCGTGTAGACTCTACACGTAGTGCTAGTGATGCACGCGCAGGTGCCGTACCATGGTATACCAGTGATGCTGAAAAAGAGGGCACGCTGGACGTGATAGTACACTTACCTGCATGAGCTGTGACCACACAGCTAAAATAAATGGGCATGCCACGGCTAAAAAAAGTTCATTTCAAGATCGAGGTGATTCCGCCGACGGTAATCAACCGACTTCGCAACGATCGTGTAATCTTACTAGGCTTCGTTGGTGGTGAAGTAGAAATCATCCAGAGCTAGCAGACGACAAGCATAGCAGCTCTTGTCCTGTGGAGAAAGTCAAAGCGTTTGAGATGAGGCGCGACCAACTTTCAACCTTCCTTGAAATATTTCGGAACGATATTTTTGCGTCCATTGACATCAGCGACGACGAGGACTTCATCTCTGCATGAAAACTCTCAGTCCAACTGTCCTGGAACGTTACTCTATCATACTGTGTAATAAGTTTTGAATGGCTTAGCTTATGGAGTTGCCAGTAACAAGTGACAAGTCACTAGTCAAACTGCGACAATTTCGATGACGCGGAGGAAGTAGTAGACTATGACAGTTAGAGAACAAGGCGCCAGATTATTCAGTATCGTAGCATTTGTATAATTATGTAGTATTAAAGTGTGTATAAAGGCTACGTAGTAGTAATGATGTAGTGAGTAGGAATGATGTAGTGAGTAGTAGAGATGTAGTGAATAGAAAAGATGTAGTGAGTTACCGTACTGTGCACATGTAGTGCTGGCGCGACTCCTACTCATCAGTCAGCTGAGCGCTTGTCAGCTGGTGCTGGTCCCTCGTCTGCCAGGCTGGCTAGGATGGCTGCACGTTGTCGACCTCGGGTCACGACATCAGAAGTCAACAAATAACGACAAATAACGACTTCTGGATCCACTCTGCCCATAGCAAAGCGGAGCATGTGGTGGGTACTAGAAGCCCCCCCCCCCCCCCCCCCCTCATGTTACATGCTGGTGTGACTTCTTTTCGGTACCAGCAGTGTGTCCCTGGCCAGGAGGGCCCAGTCCAGTCAGTACTGGTGTCACCCTACCCTGAAGGAAAGCCACCCAAACCTGTATGAGTCCATACGAAAACTGGACCCTAGTGGATCCAGAAGTTATCATGACTCACTTTCAAGCCCTATGTTACATTACCTGTGATGCTCCCACAACCTGAAATCGTTCTTCGATTCGGTGTGTTGTGCATCAGAGCCATAAAACCTTTTTTTGTTGTATGTGGTGCACGTAAGTTACTCAAAAATCTTCTCTGGGTTGAGCAATGGTGTTGTTGGTAAAAATCCCTTTCCATGCTTGCGCCAGGCAAGCTTGACTTTCTCACTTCTTTACATTAGTCCAGTAGCTTGATAGAACAATGGTCAGCCATTCTTGAACAGATATTTCCTTACTATCCCTCACTGTCACCTTACTCTCCCTCACTGTCACCTGTAGAACATCACTTGCCTAATGCCAAGGTTCCTGTTTGAGTCCTGGTTGTGACTTTCATTTCTTCTTCAGGCTCTATACCATTTCAGATCCGTCCAATAATGAGTATTTAGATCATCTTGTCCTTTCTGTCGGCAATAGGAGCAGCAAGGGGGCTGCATGTGAAGGAGCCTGAATGTGTAGTGATGATCATCTCGTAGCAGTGAAACTGCATAAATTCGCAAAATGCCATGCATGCTCGTGTACAAATAACCCTCGGTGGCAAAGTCGTACAAAGAGGCTGGAAGTGTTTATCCAAGAGCAGCTTGTTGGGGGCAGTAGGTGTTCAAGGCAATACGGTACTGAATGTGTGTGCTTTTGAATGTGCCCTTTTTGTTTCAGGGAAAGGGCTACGTTGTGCTGGAGAAGGCCCTGTGCACTTTCCCTCTTCCTCCGAACAGTTTCTTCCACAGGAACACTATTCATGCAGAAAAGCTTCTTGCGGATGGCTTGCTCAACCTACGTACGTCTTCTACGTCTTCTATATAGACGTGACCGTGTGGAATTTTCAGAAAATCGTGAAGTGTTCCTACTTTGTCAGTTGTGC